CTCATTCTGAGACTATAGAGATAATAAAGCGCATGACCTGATATAGTTTTTCTCCGTTAAGTCACACAGCTTCCCTATGAGGAATGAAACAGACTACACTCAGGTTTTCTAATACATCTTTTAATTCTGAGTAGAGAATACCTAGAATGGTCGGGCGCGGTGGCTCAAACCTGTAATCCCAGCACTTTGGGAGGCCGAGGCGGGTGGATCACGAGGTCAGGAGATCGAGACCATCCTGGCTAACATGGTGAAACCCCGTCTCTACTAAAAATACAACAACAACAACAACAACAACAAAACTAGCCGGGCGTGGTGGCGGGCGCCTGTAGTCCCAGCTACTCAAAGGCTGAGGCGGGAGAATGGCGTGAACCCGGGAGGTGGAGCTTGCAGTGAGCCGAGATGGCGCCCCTGCACTCCAGCCTGGGTGACACAGCGAGACTCCGTCTCAAAAAAAAAAAAAAAAAAAAAAAAAGAGAGAATACCTAGAATGACTTTTTGTGTGTATAAAACTGGCTCATGATAGAGTGAAAATGAAATGGCAATTGAAGAGAGTATTTCCATCACTGTAATTTTATGGTAGACTGATACATATATATATATATATTTTAGACTGAGATACTTGAGTAAAACTTTGGCATTGCCTTTAACAGAGGTTATATAAATGAACTTAGTGAGTTAGAAAAAAAGACTAATTATTAGGTATGAAAATCAGTTTATGTTGCTTGTATTGTTTGAAATTAATTTTTTTCTATCATTCAATACTTCTGATTTTCTGAAAATAGCCTTTGGATTTTAACCAGTTTATAAAATAACAAATTACACTTCATTTTCAGTAGTCTAGATGTCCATTTACAATTTAAGTCTGATAGACTATAAATTTACTGTGGTAAACTTAGATCACAGTTGAAAAGCTATCTTCTTCAGGTTCAGTAATTTATTTACTAACAGTTATTAATATTTGTGGGCTCAGAGTTTTATTTATTTCAAACTTTTAGGTAGTAAACTAAATCTCCTAATACATTAGTTAAATGACTGTTTAACGATGATTATTTACTTTTTATTTAACTAGGTGTTATTTGACATTTATTGTAATACAAATTACACAAAACATAATTTGGTGAAGAGATTAAAGATAGCAAGATATATTCAAATCTTCATTAGACATAAATATACTATTATAGCAGTTTGTCAGTCTGTTTAAATAATGTCTTTTTCTATAGATGCATTGCATATTTATCTGATTTAGGGCAACTGACACTTTTAAACATAGAAGAAGGCTTTCTTATTTAATGGTAAAAAAAGTAGAAGACTTTGCATTTCTTACAAAGAAAAGTTTTAAGGAAATGTAAAATAGAGAAATACATTATGGTAGAAGTGATTTCATCAATAAATGCAATAGCTCCACTAAATTAATGTTTTCCAAACTTCCATGCACACTAGAAAATATGTCATTCCAAGCCAAAGTTGCATTAAAATAATTATATTTAATCATGCATTTAGATTTTCAGGGAATAAGGCATGGATTTTGTAAATGAAAGTGTGGATTTGTGGATCTCTGTCTCTTGTCCTCTGTTGATACTTTCTATACAGTTCTATTATGTTTCATGATTATAACACACTAGTAAAAATAAACAACTAAATTTACCTTAACTGTGCATCTATGCTGCACAAATGTGTTTCTTGCCGTTGACTAGACATGTATCACGACATGAAAACGCTCACAAAATACTGTAGGGTATCTGTTTTGAAGGTGCTGTTTTCCTAAAACATAAAATGTACATTTCCTCTGAAATAACTATTTGTATCATTTTTTTTTTCTGGAATCCATTTCGTTCCATGTTGAAACAGGTTCTAAAATGTAGTAATCTAGAACCATATGGGAACTTATTTTGTCAGAATTATTCATTTATCAGTACTTCGTTAGGGCAAGAATTATTTAGTAAATGTGCTAATTTTGAACATTATTTCATCTCTAAACATCTGCAACCCAGTGGGTCCAGGTAGCTCCCAAGACCATAACACTTATTCAATTCTATTTATTTGCATGCTATTTGTTGATTTGCCTATTTAAGTTTGTCATTAATTTCCAGTATCAGCTTTTATAAATTAGCACAGCCCTCCAAGATTCTAGACTCCTTCTACCTTTGTTCAACCTCTCTACGTAGACCTACTTTTTGAGGAGTAAGTGTCATGTTAGCATTGGATACCTATCAATGTGTGAACAGTAGAGGTGAATAATGACTTTGAGATAATTAAACTATTTTTTTTTCTGTTCTTTTTCCCACAACAGATTCTCACCTATAGTTGTCAACTGTGGGGAAGACCAGACCTACTGAAAAGTACAGATAGCCCATAATTCCCCCTGACTGTTGTGATCAAAACCTATGGGCAAATACCACCCAAAACTAATGCAATGCTAGCCATATATGTAAATTAAATGTTCTCACCACTAAAAATAAGTTGTTGAGGTGATGGATACGTTAATTAGCTTTGTTGAATCTTTCTACAATGTATACATAGATCGAAACATCAAAACATCGGCCGGGCGCGGTGGCTCAAGCCTGTAATCCCAGCACTTTGGGAGGCCGAGATGGGCGGATCACTAGGTCAGGAGATCGAGACCATCCTGGCTAACATGGTGAAACCCCGTCTCTACTAAAAAATACAAAAAACTAGCCGGGCGAGGTGGCGGGCACCTGTAGTCCCAGCTACTCCGGAGGCTGAGGTGGGAGAATGGCGCAAACCCGGGAGGCGGAGCTTGCAGTGAGCTGAGATCTGGCCACTACAATCCAGCCTGGGCGACACAGCGAGACTCTGTCTCAAAAAAAAAAAAAAAAACAAACATCAAAACATCACATTGTATCTCATAAATATACAATTATAATTTATCAAATAAATTAAAAATAAATATATTGTAGTCACATTTAAACAAGTAAAAGCAGGTGAAATTAATTTTAATAATACATTTATGTAATTCAAATATATACAATATTATCATTAGCATTTCAACATAAAATCATATTTTAAAAATCAATGAGATATTTTACATTCTTTTTTTAAATACTAAGTCTTTGAAATCTGGTGTTTCAGATTTCAGAACATCTTAATTTGTATTAGCCACATTTGAAAGACATGAGCTAGTGACTAACAGTTTAGGCCTAAACTTTTAGATTTACTAAAGGTTGTAAGTTTGGGAGAAGGATTTACTAAAGGTTATAAGATTTACTAAAGGTTATAAGTTTGGGAGAAGGAGGATAAGAGAGCTGAATTTCCTCCAAGAATAAAAGACCTTCCCAAGCAGAGTTCCCAAGAGGCAGCACAGCCCTAGAGAGGGAATCATTGTAGATGGGATTATAAATAGATTTGTATGAAGGAATGTAGACATTGGAAAAAGATCCCTGTGTTCTCTGTTCATAGCCCAAGAGAAGCCAATGGAACTTCTAAAACTGAAAGGGCATATTAGGCAAGGAACAGGAAAGTCTCTCAGCTTCTCTATGTCAATCAAAGACCAGCTACGTCCACTATCCTCATAACACCAAATCATAAGGCATATCTTCTCTACTTGAACCTTAGGACAAGTTTTGTAACTGGGGCGATTGCAAGATTGATATGGCTAACACTTACAATGACTGAATTTATTTTTCCAACATTCCAGCGGAATGAACCTTGATTAGAAATTACATTGAAATGCATAACTTATAAAGTATTTTATAGTCATCTATTACTATTTATTATATTTGTGAATTACTTGTTTGTTTAGCACATTAAATATCACTGAAAGTTATGGAATGGTTAAAATTCCCAGTAATATTACACAATACAAATTTATATTTTTGACACTTTACCTCAACCTGAAATTCGGAAAATTTTTCCTCAGGCGATTTCTGGAAGCCCCTGGGGATAACTCATTAAAATTATCAACTGCCACATTTTTCTTTCTCATTTCTTCTATCCTCCTCTATTTTTCTTTTAAAAAAAGTTTCTGCATGCATCTGGTTGGCAGTATAACATGATAACAAGCATAGGCTCCGGAGTCAAATCGTACTAGTACACCACACACCTTTGCTGCTTTGAAACTGTATGGCCCTTCAGATCAAGTGTTTAACCTAGTTCTCAATTTTCTCATCTGCAATGTTCAGATAAAAAGAGTTCTCCATAAACAAGTTGTGGTAAAGATTAAGTGAGATGATGAATTGGAATCACTTACAACAGTGACTGACAATTAATATATGCTTAATAAATTATAGCTAGTCTTATTAGCCTGCTCATCAAAGATGTTTAATGCCGATATTGTGGTATAGATCTGAAGGAATGGAGATCCCTCTGCGAAGCTCCAAAATCATTATTCACTGTTGCCTGCCCAATCTTTCTCCACCACAAACAGCCAGCAATTACTACTTTATTGAGTCAATCTAAGATGTCATCATTCTAAGACACACTGCCAACTGAACAATGACACAATAATCTTTTATTACATAAAATATTTAAAATAATTATTCATAGAAGCTTTTGAACTTTAGTTGTAGATTTTTATCATGTATTTCACTTGTGCCTATATAAAGTAAATGTGAGAAACAAAATTGATGGGTTAAGGTATTTCTAAGACTTTCGAAGTCCCACTCTTTGCGTTTTGTTTTTTAAGTTGAGGTGAAATTCAAATAACATAAAATTAAAATTAACAATTTATAATTTACATTTTGTACTTTCACCATGTTATACAATCCTCACCTCTGTCAAGTCCCAAAACACTGTCTTCATCCCTAAGATAGCACCCAAACCCATTTAACAGTCACTACCCATTCCCACCACCCTCATGTTCTTGCTTTCCACCTCTATGGATTTATCTACAATGTGTGACTTTGGAGACTGGCTTTGAGACTGGCTTCTTTTACATGGCAAAATGTTTTTGAAGATCATTCACATTGTTGCATGTACTGATACTTCATTTCTTTTTATGGCTGAATAATATTCCATTGCAAAGTCCTCATCTTTTCAATTAGTTTTCAACTGAGTCATGGGTGTCTCAATTTTCCCATAAGAACATCATCCTCTGTGTCTTCAGGAACATTGTTGACGCAACATTACATAATTAATCCTCCACTACTGTCCCTAGGATGCTCCTCCAAGCCACTGACATACATTCTGCAAGCTTTGATATTCATTCTTCGGCAATCACAACAATTTCACAATCGCAGTGTGATCTATTCTGTAAAGAATATCCTGATTTCAGAATTGTTAAATGTTTTTTTAAGTACATAGCATAATCAGCAAAATATAATATTTTATATATAGCCATATAAAAAGATAAACATACACACAAACATAAACACACACATAACAAGTGTATTCTATATCATAGTATAAAATATATTTCTTACTGTGGATTCAAATTCAAGTGAACAAGTCCTTTCTGACCCTAGTCTCTCTTCCCTTACAATAAACTCAAACACAATTTTATGTTAGCTATTCTTCATAAAATTTGGGACCTACATATGTAACTGCACTTACACAGCCATGAGTGTATAAATTTTAATGAGAATATCTGTTAAGGCATCAAACGTCAATCTAATGCTATATATATTTTCTAATTTGCCTCATCCATTTGGTTCTGTGTTTCTGCTCTCTTAAATTAGCTTCCAAATTAAACATCGATATTTCTATTAAATAATTTGGAACATCAGGCAGAATAGAATTATCTTTCAGATCTTGGTAAAAACAAAAAAACAAAAGAAAAAATGATTAAAATACTGTGCACATAACAATTTAAATAAACCAAATATATGAAACTTTGACTATTTCTTTTGAAAATCTATTTTCCAATAAAATTCTTGCATATTTCATTTAAAATAATTAGAAATAAATCCTAGTACATAAAATAGCAACCAAGAAAGAATATTGAAGTAATATGGTTCAGTAGCTTCAATTTACAAATGACAACCTGAGTTCCAATGATAAGAAGTACCTCACCAAAAACCGAAAATTTTTATGTAGCTATCAAAACTAGAACATTGATGGCCTGACCTTTACTTCTATCCATTAAGCTTCAAAAGTTCTGATACTTAATTTAAAATTCTTTTTACTAATATATTGTAATTGTGAAGATTATTATCATATAAACCTAATAAAAATACCAAAAATCTAAATAACTAAAATATTATTCATAATTTATCTAATCTATTGTATTTATATTACTCTTCATACTGTTTACTCTTTTCAAATATAATTATAAAATTCAAATGGAATTTCAAAGCTTAATAATGATGGCTAATATATCACATTGTAAAGAAGAAACAAATAAAGTTGCTTAAATGTGAGCTTTAAGTCTCATGATAAAATATCTGACCTGAAAAATATATGGTTTCTCTGCTCACTTCCCCACAGATCTTTCTGGTCTGAAGTGTTGAAATGGGTGTGATACTTTATTTATTTTATTAAAATGAAAATAAAACATTAAGCTTAATGTGTCTCCAACTAACTATTTTATATTATTTTATATTTTACTTTGAATATGATTCCTATCATAGTTTATTTTTCTCTTTTTTTTGACCTCTATTCCTGTTTTCACAAATTGGGCTGAATTATTTCATTACAAGTCCTAAATGGAATCATACAAATTTAGCCATCTCCAAACATTTGCTACATGCAGCTGGACTCATGTAGCCCAGACTAGCTTTTAAGAACCCACACACACATGCACACATACAAACAGGTCAAACTGAAATGAATGGAGCTATTCATGGAATTAGAGAAGGAGCTATGCAAACTTTGAAAGAACTGTTGTACCATGTATACATATTCTACCACATTTACAGTCTTTATTTGTGGAGTGCAAATCTTTCTGTCCAAAGGTTTACTGCATTTAGACTCTTATTCATTATTCACAATTTCATATTCATTTTTTTTCTGGGAAATGATAGTAGTTTGAATATTTAGCTTGCCCTCCATATGAAAATAAACATCATGGTTAGCACACTCCCAGACAAGGCTAAAAGCAGCAATTGAGAGAGTTGAAACTGACAGTTGAATTCATAATTCATTCATTTAAATACATGGTTTTGAGACTTTAAACTGGGCTAGGTATTTCTTTCTTGCAAAAATTCATTTGTTGACAATATTTTGGAATTTTTGTAGAATAGGGAGGGATGTCATATGCTATGGTATAACAATTCTACAAAATTCTGAACAAATTTTCTCCTAAAAAGATGGACAAATTCAGATGTGATATCAAATTATTTTAAAAGCTGAAGTAATATCTTAAAAGGGGTTTCTTCTTTGAACATATGTGTGTGACACTTGAACTGGTTTATAATTATTTGTTATTCAAAAAAAGGAAATGGAAATATTAGTCTGGGGTCTTTTCCCTAAATTTAACTTTATTTTGTTTATCATTCTCTGTTTTTCTTTCTTTATTCCAACCAAGTGATTAATTAACCCTCAGTAAAACAAGTAAATAATTCAGGTATGCTGAATTTTAAAATTTAGAGGTAAATACCTCAAGGGACTCATGGCTTCCCCTACAGACACTTTTTGTACCTTTCCAAAGATCCTGTGTTCATGACCATTTGCAATAGTTTCATTTACGTAAATGCCAATTACTGTTCGTTTTGGACAGTTATATTTTTAGCAAATTTTATCTCAATAATATAATTAGTAAAACATGCTGAATTTTCAACCATTAATTTTTTCAGTATTTACAATTGTCTTGAAATACAAGTAAATTTCTCTGAGAGGATAATGTTCAGCAGTACAAAGAAATAAAAAATAGTTGGGTTGTTTTGAAACCACAAGCATTTTGTATGATTAGAGGCCTTGGTACAGTTTCATAAACTATTTTATTTTTCACATAGCCAAGAGATGATTTATTCCTTTTTTCTTCTAGAACACAAAAACATTACAATCAATTTTCATGTTAGGTTTCTAAAGTAATGACAAATGGCCTATACTGGGTTACTTCCACCTCTTCTTCTGGGACTCCAACTACATGTAACTTAGGCCACCTAATATTTGTCCCAGGCCATCATGGCTTTACTTATTTTAAAGTCTATTTTTTTCTCCACCTTGCACAGTCTCCACTGTATTTTCTTTATGCTTTTTGTTTTAGTTTTCATTTTCACTTTTGTACTGTCCAGTGTGTTTTTAGTTCACTTATTGTTTTTTCTTGGTGTTTTTTAGTTTAGTTTAGTTTAGTTTTGTTTCATTTTAGATATTGTTTTGCTTTCAGTTCCAAAATTTCCCCCGGATTCTTTTGTAGATTCCATTTATTTGCTGATATTACTCATCTTTTTCACTCATATTTCCACCTTTCCCCTAAATCCTTAAGCAGTGTTGTATAATTGTTTTCAAGTCCTTGTGTGTTAATTCCAACATCTCTATCTTTGTGACTTTCAGTATTCAGCCACTCCAGGATGCATTGTATGTTTTTGTCTTTGGAGATCTCTCCTCTGTTATCTCACAAATTCCAGTTGCTCAGCAGCTCTGAATACAATCTCTGCCTCAGTGAGACCTCTGTCCCCTACTTGGGCTCCACCTCCATGTATCATGGTTTAAAAAATTGTTTCCAGACAGAAACCATATATACGTCGTCTGTCTTTTTCTCCTCTAAGAGATCAAAATACTAGGTTGTCTGTTTTCCAGTGTCTATAAATAGTTGCTTAACATAGATTATTCAGTTTACAGTTTATGGTAGGAGTCTAGTCATGTAACAATTATCATGTCAGCTCAGAGTGGAAGCCCAGAAATTTTAATGTTAATAGATACTGCCAGTTTACTTTCCTAAAGAATAAAGCAATTCATAATCCTATGAGTAATGTATAAGAGTACCCATTTTTCTAAAAATTATTTAGCCATAGATCATTTATCCTTTTAATTTTGTGTTTTGTGGTGTCACTGTATTCTAATTTGCATTTCCCTAAAAACTGAAACTTCTTTCTGTTGACTACATGTTAACTTTACTCTGTATTACATGTTCATATACGTACTTTGCTCATTTTCTATTTTTTGATGGATTTGTGGGATCCTCATTGCACTATAACAATTCCTTCAATCTTAGTTTGAATATTCCATTATCTTCAAATTGTCAAAATATATATTTAGCTTACAATACATACAGTTTTACTTAATTGTATTCATATGTATTTTTTCACAAATTAATTGTAATCAAAGACCATATACTGGATCTAACACTGTACATTATATTTAAGCAATACATATTAACTGTTAAGCAATTTCTTCTGGTTTGTTAGAAACCATTTTGAGGTAATTAATAATAATTTTTAAAAGAACTTTTCCACAGTAATACCATTTGCTACAGTGAAGTGATGATTTAATATTAAGTCTACTGCAGCTTCCAAAAGAACCCAGTGACACTCCCAAGAATTGGCCGAGCCACTTGGAAAAACTGACCATTCTATATAAACTAGTGTATTTGAAGTAGGTAGTTTTAATGGCCTGTGATTCACTCAGCATACCGTAGTATACAAGAGTTACCTATTTCTTTAAAAAATATTTTGTTTAAACTGGAATGGAGGAGTAGAGCCTAAATTAATTAACATAAAAATCTGTCCAGATTCTGCCTTGTGGTAGGTATGAACTGAATAGTATGTCATGTTTCCATTATTTAGCTAAAAAATTCTGTTTTTATTATTTGTCTGATTTCACAGTGAGCTGTAAAACTATTTATTGCCAAAAGTTACCTACTAAGTCATAATACCTCATATGGGACACATGTCAAATCATTACTGTCGAGTATTTCCATAATAATAAGTCAGTTGAGATTTAAATGTATGAGCCTTCTTTGACAGATATATTAGATTAATTCAAGTTGAGACAGCTAAAATTATGATAAAATAATAGAAAATGTAATTATATGATTCAATAAGTAAACTAAACTATAAAATCTTCAATCATATAAAAATATATGTCTGGAGAGACATACATGAGAATCAAAATCAAAAGGCTAAATATGACAGATATGAAGCATTTTATTTCAACAAATACGTTAGAGTTAAAATGATAAAAAGAAATGGTTCTTCCCTCAACACAGCCTGATGAAAGAGACAGATGTATATACCAATAACAAGAATATAATTGTATTTCTTTAGAATACATTTATCTAATTTCTATTTGTTGATTAATGTTTTGGTTGGGTGGTGAAAGAAAATCAGCTTTAGCATGTTTCCTTGAAGAAACGGTTCTATGTGAAATTAATGTTTGATGTGTAATCCCTTAAAGAAGCATGACCCAAGGAATGTCAAGGGAGAACAAAAGGGAGTGATAGTAAAATTAAAATTTGTGAATACTTAATCTGCATGCCATTTTTCCAATTGTACCATTGCCCAGCAAAATTCTTTGAATGAATGTATTTACTCTTCCAAAAATTTTATAGCAAAATTACTCTCATAAACTAAGGAAGATAATACAGGCTTAAGGATATCTGGTGAGTTATACAAGATTATCTAACTAATAACTAATAAAACTGAGAGCCTGAGAACAGGAGTCTTATAGAAGTGCTTTACTTAGGGTACACACAGGAGAAGAGGAAATGAGGGAGGCAGGATGTGGGAGAGACAATAACATCAACTTCAGTGGCGCAGGTACCCTTGTTAGCGATCTTAGGCCCCAGGTACCCTTATCAGAGCTTGGTTGCTATATTCATTTATTTAAGGTTAAAACTAGGAAGAGACGCTGGATGGATCATCTGAGTACCAAATGTATTTCTCCCTGCACCCATTATGTTGCAGGAATCTTACCTTCTCATGATAATCAAGTACGATTACTCCTGCCAGTAATAGTTCCTTTTCTGTCTCTTCTATTCTCTCTGTGCCAGGAACCCAAAGTCAACAGGTAGAAGCCATAGTTTTAAGTGTAGTGACACTCTTTCTCTGTACCTTGGTAAAAAGAAGTGTCCCTCTTTCAGTAACCAAATTTAAAACCACAAAGCCTATAGTTGCAGGGACAGGAAGCACAATTTCCCCAAAACACACGACCATGAGGTCCACTGGTTCTGATATGTATCATACTTTCTAGTGGTACCAGTCCAATAGTGTTTGATACCTGTGTCAATAGTCACAGTAATTTGAAGACAAAATCACTGTATCAGTAAAAGGGATTTCAAAGGGGCATCAATATCATCTACTACAGTCTTAGTTCTATTATAATTCTAGCCCCATATTGCAATTTTCCTGCCCCAAACTTCTCATTGTATATTGAGAGTACAGTGGACAGATAAATTGTCTCTTTAATTCACAGGTCTTCAGGAGAGAAGATATGCCAAAGGCTTTTTATCTATACCTGTTCCTGTTATGATGATGAAATCCTGGACTACTAGATTGAGTCTGATACCAAAGTTGGATGAGTTTTTGGGCATCTTGGGAGAGGATGTTTTGGTTGTGCTTGCGTTGTGAGTTCTTAGGGGCAAAAAAGTGAATTGCAGAGGAAGGCAGAATATCACAGGAACTATTTTTTGGTTCTTGGGATGTGTGGGTGTCCTTGGGTTTGTATCACAGCTACCTTTTTAAAAATTTTTTTGACAACTATCAAATCCATGAGCAGTCGAATCAATACTGAACAGTTCTGTTTCTTCAGGTCATCTGTGGTCTTACTCATTTTCTCCTTCAACATCTGTTTCTCTCTTCCTCTTTTCACCTTTCCTGCTTTCTTCCTGATCTTCATCCTCATACTCATCTTAATCTTCTTCATTTAGTCCCTCTAGTAATTTCCCACTAACCATGGGACTTCACCCCAACACTTCACCCCAACAAAATTGTGAGCATTGTTAGGTTTTTGTGTAAGACTCTTGCTGTAGCATGTGTAGCTGTGATTGGTGAGTCATCCATCTGTGGCTACCAGTTACACCAAGATTGTAACAGTATTTTTATTTTTTGTACAACAAAAAAGCTTTGTAAATAAAATCTTAACATTAAAAAAAAGTGAATTGTGGAAGACTAATCCTGTGATGGTCCCTTAAAAACACACACACACACACACACAAACACACACACTCTTCGTGGTATTCTTTGTTTAGTCCCTTCCCCATGAATCTGGACTCCATGATTTTCTATTGTTCCAACCAATAGAATGCAATAAAAGTAACACTTTGTCAGTTTCATGCCTAAGCTTTAGACATTATAGCTTCTGCTTTTGTACTTACCCTGAGCTGTGATGTAAGTTCAGCCATCCAGCTGGAGAGACAATGTGGATCTTGAAGAAGCCAGGTAGAAAGAGCATGGCCTTGAAATTACATGAAGTGGTCAAATGTGGTGGCTCACACCTGTAATCCCAACATTTTGGGAGGCTGAGGCAGGTGGATTCCTTGAGGTCAAGAGTTCGAGACCAGCCAGGCCAACATGGTGAAACCCATCTCTACTAAAAATACAAGAAAAAAAAAAAAAAAAGTAGCTGTGATGGCGGCTGTCTGTAATTCCAGTTGCTTGGGAGGCTGAGGCAGGAGAATCACTTGAACTCAGGAAGTGGAGTTTGCAGTGAACCAAGATCATGCCACTGCACTCCAGCCTGGGCAACAGAGTGGGATTCCATCACAAAACAAACAAATAAACAAATAAATAAGCAAACAGATTTCATGAAGGTGAACCAAGAAACTCAGCTGACAGCGCAGAAAGCCTAAACATATGACTGTGGATGCACTGTTCCAGAGACCTCCAGCTTTTTAAGTCCTCCAGGTTGAGGCTAAGATATGTAAGATATGTCATGAGAGTCACTTTGGACCTTCTAACCCTAACAAATATCTCACAGGGCTGAGACAAGCTCTTCCTGCTGTGCCATGTCTGAATTCCTGACCCACAAAACCATGGGTAAATAAAATGACTATTGTTTTAAGCCATTACATTTTAGGGTGATTTGTTATGCAGCTATAGATATACAGAACTAGGAATTTACTTTTTCTTAAAAATGACAAGAAAGAAGTGAGTATGGTGAACCTTATATATAATCTAATAAAGCAGTTCAACCTCAAGTGCCACCACTATGTTACAGTGTCACGTTGCTATTATTTTTCACATTGAGCTCCAGGTACTGCATCCTGACTTCTGTGCCAATAATTTTTCTCCATCATATTTTAAAAACTACAATAATGTGATAAAATGCATAAAATGTATTTCATTTTTAAACAAAATCATCTTTGCTATAGAGAACTGAAAGCTAATTTTTATTTTTATTTTATGTTTTTCCTTTATGGATCCTCAGAATAGAACTTAAAGAAAGCTGATGGTTTAGAAATCTGTTTCCACTCAGGGATTCTAACTTTCATTTTGCAAAGCCTTGTGAGAATACATTTCCCTGGCCTGCATTCCAGTAGCCTTTTTATTTCCTGTAGCTGTGTCAAAAGCAGTAATAGCAACTTAAAAGAATAGAGCCGAGTGGCTTATAATATATATACCATATGGTTTCATAGTCTTATACTTTCATTAACTTGGAAATTACTGTATGTGATACTGTATTAGCCTGCTAATTACTATTCCTTGCATATGGCTAAGTTAATAGATATTAAATAATAAAAGTGTGACCTTTCCTCTCTAACCTTATGTTTCAGATTCTTCTTTGTTTTTGATATCTTAGCTACAAAAATTCCTTAAAATCTACATTCTGAGGCAAGACAGTAGTTTTAATTTTATTGGTATATCTATATTTGCTGGAAAAACAGCACCTTTTATTTTTACCACACTTCCTGTCATCTACAAAGCTTTAGCAGATATGGAAAAGTTGGATGAGTAATTTGAATAGAATAATGTGGGCAGCAAATTGCCTGGTCAGTTTGGTACTGAAACTACCATACAGCATGAAAGCTTAGCTGTTTCTGAAATTATGTTAGACATAGCATTTATCAGGTTAATACTCATTAATATAGTCAACAGCAAAGTCGAGTGTAAAGTAAAATTCTCTCATGAATTTGAAAATAGAATTCACAGCACAGAAGCCATTTTATAGCTAGTGGATTTATTTATTATTTTTAAGTGAAATTATTATATCAAAAAATATGAGACCAAGAGAGTCAAGTTTTATAATTGCAAAATTATTAAGCATATGTGTAAAAGCAATTAAGCAGAATTTATTTTTGCTAGATTGAGTTCTTCTATAATAGCACATTGTATTTACTATGCTAGCAAATTTTAGGGAGATCATAATAGAAATTGTGCACCCCAGAATGCAAAACTGACTATCAGATTTTAAGTTTATTATTGTTTTTAATGACACAATTACAATGTCTTGAAAAAAGCAAGATCAAGCCAATATAAATGGTACTGATATGTAGTCCTTGAACTGAATCCTAAACATTAACATTAAAATATAGTGGAGAGAACAAAAACAATTTAAAACAATCCTATGAGAGACAGAAAAAATTTGTTCCTCCTACTCTACTCTCTTATACAGTCACTCAACAAAACACAATTTTTTTGTTTGTTTGTGTTTGAGTCAGGGTCTTGCTCTGTCACCCAGGCTGAAGGGCAGTGATGGGATAACAGTTCACTGAATCCTCAGCTTCAGGGTTTCAAGCATTTCTCCCACCTCAGCCTCCTGAGTAGCTGGGACAAGTTTGTACCACCACACCCAGTCAACTTTTTTTATTTTTCTGTAAAGAAAAATTTAAAAATCTTATGCTGTGTTGTCTAGGTTGGTCTTAAACTGCTAAACTTAAGCATTCCTTCTGCCTCAGCCTCCCAAATTGCTGGCATTACTGGCATGTGCCACTGCACCTAGCAAACATAACACTTCTGACACTAGTTATATAGGGGTATTTCCACCAAGTAATTATTCTGTCAACTCCAGCTGGACGTCCTATAATTCAACTCAATTCCGACATGGCCTGGAGATAGGACTGGATTCCACATATTAAGGAATCAGTCCCACAAGATTGCCCCCAACTTCAGATGCAATTGCAAGTAACAGGTTTTCACCTATACTTCTGACCAACCAGCTATAAATCAGGCTTCCCAATACTCCCCCTTGGGTTCAATTTTCTGGAAAGGTTCAGAGAACTTAGGGGAATACAATTTACATTTACTGGTTTATTAATAAGGAATATAGATAGAAAGATAAAGGGATACATAGGGAAAGATCTGGAAGGATCCCAAGTACAAGAGCTTCTGGCCATGTAAAGGAATGACAGGCCATTCATCCAGCATACTGATGTGTTCACAAACTCAGAAGCTCTCAAAACTCCATAGTTCAGGGATTTTTATGGAGGCTTCATCACATAGGCATGATTAATGATCAATTCCATTTCCAGCCCCTCTTTCTACCCAAAGAATGGGAGGTGGGTCTGAAACATCCAAGCTCACAATCATGACTTGGTCAGTCTGGTGACGAGCACCATTCAGCAGTCCACTAAGAGTCTCCTCATTAGAACAAAAGACACTCCTATCACCTAGGAAATTCCAAGGAACTTAGGACCTCTGTGTCAAGAACTGAGGCCCAAGACCAAATATTAGAATGAAGGATTCTCCTAGTACCTTAAAAGGGCATCATTAAAAGCTCTGTCTTGGAAACTGGGGAATAGACCAAATACTGGAAGAAAGGATTCTCCTAGCACCTTCTCACTCAGGAAATGATAAGGGCTTTCAGAGCACTTTACCAGAGACTTAGGACAGAAATCTATATATATATATATCAGGACAGAAATATATATATATATATATATATGTGTATATATATATATATATGTATATATATACACACACATACACACACACACACACACACACATATATATATCTTAATATTTCACAAGTTCAAAAGACTGAAGGGAATAAACCATATCCCAAAGTTCAGGTGCAAGTTCATCAACCAAAAAAGATGGGCTGAGAAATGTAGTCTAGATCTACACCACATCCTCTAAACTTAGATGAAAGACAATTATCAAAGAGTAAAGATTTTGCTTCATACTCAGAATGTGCCTGAATCTGGACATCAGAGACTGTTACCATGCTTTCTCTGAACAAATCAGAATCTGTTTCCCTTTTTGTGTACGTATTCCAGGTATACAAAGTCAGTGAAAAGGTCAGATTCTTTATATCTTGAGGTGCACAGAAACCCCAGAAAAAAAATGCTTTAAGCAGGGAGACAAAAGCATTAGAGAAAATCTGAGGATGTAAAGGGTTTTAGCTAAGATAATGACCAGAGACATAGCAATGTACACATCCTCTTTGCAATCATGGTTAATCTAAAGATTTTCTCAGCAATATACCCACAAATAATAACAGCAAATTATGGAGGAGGCACAGGTAAGTAACTGGGTTGGAGTGTGCCACAGGCTCAAAGCTCAGGCAAAGTAATTCTTCACCTAATTCCAAAGCTTGCCACCTGTCAGCCACCAAGCCAGGAAGAATGGGCGTACTATAGCATGTAAGAGGAGAAAAAGAGAGAAAAAGAAAATTGAGCACCAGTTGCTAAACCTTGGAGTGGCGTTGATTTGGAAAATAAAAAAGAAGGAAGAGACCAATTTGGCTAGCTTGACTGAGCAGCAGGGATGAGTCAATCTCTAATCTATCTGCAGAGAAGGAAAATATGGAAGACAATGCTATTCTCATGTGATTTTCTATGTTTTGACTCACAAATAACCTTGAACTCTAATAAATGTAATCTAATCAGTGGCATGAAGTCTCATCAACTGTATTTTCATTTTCTCCTCCCTGGGGCAGGGGAGGGGCCTTCACACAAAAGGAGAAAAATGTATAGACATTCAACAAATGTAAAGTGTTTACTAAATATTAAACACAGTTCTTGACACTTGGGGTAATAACACTGGATAAGATTTTGCCTGCTTTCTTTTGGGAGAATACAGACAATAAATATACAAATACATATTTTTAAATAATTCTAATGAAGATGGTGAAATTGAGATAATAAGGTAGGGAATGACTCAGGCGGAAACATTGCTTTCGTTGGAGTGATCAGGGAAGTTGCTTGGAGTTGATAAAAAATACAAAACAAAACTGAGTTCGGAATGACAAGGAAACAGATCTGTGAAGATCAAGGGGGAAAGTATGTCACCTCCGAGGCTCTAAAGTCAAGAAATAGAAAGGGAGCAAAGGTAGCTTTGGTAGAATGAACAAAAGGGGAATAGATTGAATGCGAGGTAGAGTCAGTGACAACTACTGGGTTTCGGCTTAAGCAATTGTTATTTACTGAAATGAGAAGAGTTAGGAAGTCACGATATGAACTTCTGAAATATTAAGATATATATATATGTGTGTGTAATTTGTGTCAGGACAAACCAATATTTGTTATGACCTTTACATACTACACATATAAATAACTACTCTTCCATCTTAAGTTATAATGTAGGTAAGGAATTCAACATGAAGCAAAGGAAGGAAGAAAC